CTCTCTTTCAGTCACACGGCGATTTTCCAACACAATTTTCTTTACTTTTTCGACGTTTTCTTCGTTTATTGATGTTGCTGGACGACGATCATGGGGCAAGTTCTCCAGCGATGTACGGCCGTCCTTGAACGACTTATACCAATCAAAAATACGTGCACGTGATAGGCAAGATTCCCCATATGCCTTCTGCAACATTTTCATTGCGTCCGTCGCACTTATTCCATTGGAATAACAAAATTTCAAACAAACACTTTTTGCTCAACGTTAATTTCCATAGTAAAATTCGAAAACACACACTCGAGGTTGACTTGTTTATAGTGCCTTAAAAATAAAACTATGTGACAGATCGCGCTCAAATTTGACATGTAGACATATAACAGTCCTGCCAACCTAAGCAAAACAAAGTATGGCCATATGTCATGTCCTTGTCGAGTTATGGATAAAGTCTCGTTTTGCGTTGAGCAGAAGGTATAGCAGCGATATATTATACTGACTCGATATGAATAGTTTCTTCGGAGATTGCATTATTACCTTAGATAATAATCAATGCCAAATTTTGAGAAGATATCTTGTCAAATAAAAAAGTTTTCCATGCAAGCACTTCTTTCCGATCGTATAGTTTGTATGGCAGCTATATGGTAAAGTGGTCAGATATCGGCTATTCCTACAAATAAGCAACTTCTTGGGGAGAAAAGGACGTGTGCAAAATTTCAGGGCGATAGACTAGTTCGCGAAAATACAGAAAGACGGACAGACGGACATCACAAAATCGATCATGCTGTACATATTATATTATGGGTTATGTACATATTTTATAGGGTCTCTGACGTTTCCATCTGGATGTTACGAACTTCGTTCAGTATATTCAAATAAGTCAAGGACATAATCGGTCGGAGATTGGTTTCTGGGGTTTATGGTTTTCCATGACAAAAAGCCGGTAGCTGCTCCGGCGCCACGGTCAAATTGGTAGAATTAGCTTACGACATTCTGCCCCATCCACGTATTTCACAGACTTAGCTCCATACTACTTCTTTTTGTTTCCATACTTGAATAAATCGTTATCCGGGTCGAAATTTCAAGAGGTTAATGTTGTCGTGGAGGCATACCTTTGAGACCTTCAGAGCATATAAGTAAACTTATTTCAGTTGGAAAAAGTTATAGCACTGCTGTATCAAGTATATCGATCGATGCAATGTGTTCAAGGCGCTTTGTATATATAAGATATCGAACGTTAATTGTTTTTTAGAAATTACTGAATATAAGAGTCTAGGTGTGATCATCATCTTAGCCATCAGCCATAGAAACTTACCTGACCTAAACGACTAACCTTTACTGTACTAGAAAGCAGAATC